TACGCAACGCCCAATGCTCCGGGGTGGTCCGGTTCTCCGGGCCTGGCCTCGCCGAGGAAGGTGCACACGTCCATGCGATGCCAGGCTCATGTCGGGCATGTCCCCCTACGGGGGGGGATTTGGGACGAAGAAAACTCTCTACCCAAGAGATGCTGAAAAATATTCAAAAACAGTCCCCGGGCTATCTTTGAGCATTCCTCCTGTAGAGGGACAGGCCCGACTTAATGCCAGGTCGCTGCGAGCGTGGCCCCAAGAGGGCTCGGTCCCTTCCCCTGAGCCAGGTGTTCGCCCTGGATCCCTCTTCGGATGGCCCCAGTGAGACAGTGGTGGGGACAGTGGGGACACTGGGACAGTAGTGGGGACAGTGGTGGTGGGGACAGTGGTGAGGGCGGTGATGAAGACAGTGGTTGGAAAAGGGGACAGTGGGGACAGTGGGGACAGTGGTGGGGACAGTGGGGACAGTGGGGACAGTGGTGGGACAGCCGGACAGCTCAGTGGGACAGGGGCGGAGAGAGTGGGGACAGCGGGACAGTGGTGGGGACAGTGGGGACGGCCCCTGGAGGCCGAAGTCGAGAAAAAAGTGTCTGGCTTTGCTGGGTCAGCAGCGAGGGCGGACGCCAACGCGTTCGGAAACAGGGGGGCCGCGCCAGGCCAAGGGAACGCGGGAGAAGGCCTCAGGCGTAGAGAATCTTCGCTACGAGAAGAGATCGGTCGGAAAGCTTGCTTGGTCGGCGGCGAGCCAGGACCAGCAGGCGGTCAGGCAACGATGGGACACGTCCGAAGCGAATTGAGAGTTCGAATCGAGGAAAACGCCCAACTTGAAACAACTTCCATGCGAGGTGGCACGCACAAGGGGGTAGGGGAGGAAGGCTTCTTAGAAGGAGGCTGCTGGCCCTACATCGAATTACAGACAAGGCCCGCGCCGAATGAGGAGCAGGGTGCGCTTCCAAGAAGCCTTCCCCCCTCCCCCCTCCCCCATAACCCCCCTCTGCGCGTGGCTGATTCTGCTCCAGCTTCGGCCACCGCAGCCCGCTTGGAGACGGCAGACGCCTTGCAGGAGAATGGCCGCGTCGTCCAGTCACTGGCTGGCGGAGCTTGCGGAGGGCACCCACGCCCGCGCGATGACGGTCTGGGCCGCGGCGAGGCTCATCGACCAGACCTCCTCCTCCTCCTCCTCCTCCTCCTCCTCCTCCTCCTCCTCCTCCTCCTCCTCCTCCTCCTCCTCCTCCTCCTCCTCCTCCTCCTCCTCCTCCGCCTCCACCTCCGCCTCCGCCTCCGCCTCCGCCTCCGCCTCCGTCTCCTTCTCCCCCATCCCCATCCCCCTCCTCCTCCGCCTCTTTCTCCCCCATCCCCATCCCCCTCCTCCTCCGCCTCCTCTTTCGCACCCGGCGACCTCGCCCTACTTCGGGCTCCGAAGACCCTCGCGAGTCGACACGGTCCGAGAAATGCCACGGAAAAATGGGGTCTGCGGGGAAACCAAAAAGGTGCCGATGCCGCTGCCCCCGAGACCACTCCTGGGGTGGGTTCTGACCAGAATTTCGGGGCGAATCCGGCGGCGGCGACGAGTGCCTCCCAGGAGGCCCAGAGAGGGGGAAGACGGGCGAGGGGGTAAAGGCATGGGGCACCTTCTCCTCCGCTGGGTCCAGGGCTCCGGCCGTGATTTCCTGCGAGGCTGCAGCCTCTTCGCGGCGCTGGCCAGGGGCATCACCCTGGGCGGCCCTGGGCAGGCGCGGCGCTCTGCACGGATGCCTCCCGCGGACTCGAGCCTGGCCCCGCTCCCCTCTGCTCCTGACGGGGGCCAGGGACACACGAAGAAATACACTCGAATCCCAGGATCCCCCATAGTTCCCCAGATCCTCTGGGTTTTCGTCCCCCCCCACTTCCCATATTCTTTTCCCATACAGTCAACCAGTGTGGTAAGGATGCGCGATAAGGATGCGAGGGCCTTGGACGCCCATTTCGAAGCTTTTCGAGCGGGGCGCGGTCAGCGAAAGCGGCGAAGGATGGACCGAGAAGGCAAGGATGCAAGGGTTCCCTTGGGAAGGCTGCCTATCCTTACTATGCGGGTTGACTGCATTTCCCCGGGAATCGCCGCTTGATTGTGCCTGTGTGCTTCTCCCCCCTCCCGACACTCCTCCACCCCTCGGGTACCATTTGAGCAGGGACCGACCGTCCCGGCATTCCTATAGTCCTACAACGAAATGTTCGCAGAACCCAATAATGTGCTAAGAACAAAAACAACGTTCTTGGAACGTAAACCCGATGCGACAGAACAAGACAGACTCCGCCAGAAACGTTCTAAGAACCTTCCGTGGAAACCACAAAACATTCTTAGAGCATTGTTTGGTAGGGCCATAGGCGAACCAGGACGCTTCTCCGCCCCTCGGGGTATCCTCCCCCTCCCCGCTCCTTTTCTCGTGCCGTCGCCCCCCTCCGCCTCCAGGGAGGCGCCCCGGACCGGCGCACGCCCCTGGCAGGGCCAGGGCCAGGTCGGGCATGTCCCCCTACGGGCAGACCCTGGAGGAAAAACACAGAGATAGTTGACAAATGCCCCAAAAATGGCCCAAACATTTGTCATTGTTTTGGCCATTTTTGAAAAAAAAAATCCTCACGTCGAGTTGTGAAAGCCACGACAATGGACACTCTAACAATCCTATCACTGAATTTAAGAGGTGTTTAAAATGTGTAAAACATGTTCTAAACATGTTTCGAATTGCTGTTTAACATATTCAAAACAGATTTGAAACATCTCTTAGACATCTGGCAATGATTTGGCAGCATGCTTCCTCTCCATTAATCGGCTTCCACAACTGCAGAGTGACTCGCCCGACCTAAGCCGGGGATGGACAGACCTCCCTTTGGTAAAACGTAGCTTGGTGAAGACGACCTCGGGCCCAAACCCGGCGGGCGCAAGCCTGGAAAATGACGGCCGCGACGCCATCTGGAGAACCGAAAACGGCCAAATTCCTTAATCGACGTGTCAGGGTAGGATCGGGTCGGGCGAAAGGGGGGGATAGCAAAGGGGGGGGGGGAGAATCAGCTCACGTAGCTGCTTTTCCCGGCGCCTCCCGGCGCCGGGGCGGCTATGTATCGAGGAATGGGCCCCTCGGTGAGGCCGAAACCAGCTGCATGCAGCAAATTTCGTACCCCCCCCTTTCCCAATCCCCCCCTTTCGCCCGGCCCGATAGGAGGTCTGTCCACCTCCGACCCAAGGCCAGGGCCCAGGGATCCGTGCTCGGGGACATTCTGACCCGGGTCAATCCAGACACGGGTCAGTCAAGCCTTGCAGAATCCTACAAAATCCTGCAAGATCCTGCACCCAAACCCGGGTCAATGCGAGGGGTCCTGCAAGATCCTGCAGGATCCTCCACCCAAACCCGGGTCAATGCGACCCTGGCCCTGCAGGATCCTGCAAGATCTGGCGCCCTGGCTGACCCCCGTTTGTATTGACCCCTGTCTCAAGGCTCCCGACGTGCTCGTCGCCCCCGCAGTCCGGCGCGGCGGCGGAGGCTGCGGCGGAGGCTGCGGCTGCGGCGGGCCCCCTGGCGGCCGGGGGCGGCCGCCGGCCCGCCCGACCGCACGAAGGCGGCGGTCCCCGGCGCAGGCCGAGGGCGGGCAGCGAGGAAAACGAGGAGGAGGAGGAGGAGGAGGAGGAGGAGGAGGAGGAAGAGGGGAGAAGAGGAGTAGGAGGGGGAGGAAGAGGCAGAGGGGAGGAGGAGAGGAGGAGGAGGAGGGGAGGAGGAGAGGAGGAGGAGGAGGAGGAGGGGGAGGAGGAGGAGGAAGGAGGAGGAGGAGGAGGAGAGGAGGAGGGAGGAGGAGAGGGGGAGGGGGAGGAGGGGGAGGAGGGGGAGGAGGGGGAGGAGGAGGACGGCGGCGGCGGCGGCGACAACGACGGGAGGAGGTAGCAGAGGCGGATCAAGCAGAGAAGATCGCTGAAGGCCGAAGGCCCGAAGAGAATCGCAAGAACGAGAGAGCTCTGGGCATCGTGACCTGAATCGGGGAACCTTGCGGAGGCTTCAGGACAGCGACAGGGTTAGGGAAGCCGCCATGCTCACACGGCCGCTGGGGCCTCAGGGTGCCTGGGCAGTGAAAGCAGCCAGCAGAAGACAGGCACATGGCCCGTGTCACTCTGGGGTCCACCCTGGCAGGCTCGCCTGGTGAGCCAACGACACGCGAGCCATCGGAAAGAGAGCGGCGTCAGCGGCAAGAGGTCTGCGCAGGAAGCAGCCCGCGTTGGCTTTCCTTCCTGCCAGGCGCACGGCGCCGCCAGCCACCCCCGTCAGGGCGCCAAGAACTGCGTTGCAAGAAGCTGCCGGCACCTACCGCAACCTCTCGGGCATGTGCAGCCCGCTACCAAGCGTGACCTCTGGTGGACAGCATACACCAGCACAACCTTCGGAGAGAGCGGATGGAGTGACACTTGAACACAGTGTCCAATCGCTCACACGTTCCCCAACCCACACTCAGCGATGGCCGGTAGCGGAGGTGTCGCTGCGCAGTCCAGAGCTAAAGAAAGTTCGCGATAAATCTGGCCACGACTGAGTCTGATGGCCGCTCGGCAGGCCAGCTCGTGCTGAGAGGGCCCCGTGATCTCTGCAGCCGGCGGCTCCCGTCAGCCATCGATGGGGGAGCAGAAGCAGCATCAATGACACGCCGCCGTGGAGAATCCATCAGAGTGTTGCTGCTGAGCCGTTTTGCCCACGCCAGTTCCTTCAAGCCAATGCACAATTGT